CACGCCCTCAGCACCTCCCTTTCTCCATTTTTCTAGATACACCACTGCAAACATTGTGTATTATTATTATAAATAACTGTTATCCTTCATATATTCTCTTCTCCATCATAGTTGATCTCCTTGACTCTTGTGGTATGGAGTGATTCCACTGAGACCTTGAAACCAGCATCACCATTGGACGCCGTGTGTGACTTGTGGGCGGATCATATCGATCAAGACCAAAGCTGACCAATTAAATTATTGTGGGGCTGTTAGCAACAAAAGTCACGCAAACAAGGGTGGGGCTCATAGACAAGCAAAAAGAAGAGGAAGCAGTGACCTACAAGCAGATACATTTGAAGCAGCAGCAATTACAGCTTAAGTGAGTTAATTATTATCAGTTACCAGAAGATTATTCGCTTTCTCATAGGTAATAATGGCAGAAAACACCAGTCCAGCTATCACTATGACTTGTGAGGTTTGTTCAGAGTATTACACTGACCCCCTCGTGCTTCCCTGTCTTCACTCATTCTGTAAGAAGTGTCTAATAAAAGCTAAAGAGAAGCAAGGTAGTGCTGATACCTCATTAAAGTGTCCAACGTGTGACACTAGCGTTAATTTACCTGATGGTAAAATTGAAGGCCTCACTCAAAACCTTTGGTTTGAACATAAATCAAAAGAGGCTTCGATCAAAAAGAAGATCCACAGCAGGGAACCAATATTATGCGGCAAATGTCGTGTTAAAGATTCCAGTGATGCAGCTGTCGTGTATTGCTGTGATTGTGGCAAATTTCTCTGCGAATACTGCAAAAATGGTCATAAACGAAACCCAGAAAAAGCCGATCATGAGTTGATTGATCTAGGCAGAGAAGAATCTTTCAAATTGCCTGACATTAAGCATCAGAAATAATGCTGCCCACGACACCAAAAAGCAGAGCTAATATATTACTGCAATAACTGTGAAGTACTGACCTGCCTCAAATGCCTCCCTACTAAGCATAAGGATCACAATATAGAAGATTACATTGATGTAGGAGAAGCAGCACGTAAAGCATTAAAGGAAAGTGTTACTAGTTGTGATGGAGTCATTCCTCCAGTCACTGAAGCTATTGCTAATGGAGAGAAGATGCTAGAGCAGATAGCAACACGTAAGGAAGAAGTAAGGCAGGATATCAAGAAAACGTTTGAAGAGCTTAAAGCTGCTTTAGATAAGAGATGCAATGATCTACTAATGGAGACAGAAGAGATTGCTATCGCTAAAAAAAATTCTGTCAAGAAGCAGTTGGACGGGTTTCGTAAACTGATAAAACAAGTTTCTCATGGTCGTCATCTTGCATCATCAGTGAGTGAGCGTACTGATCCAGGTGAAGTTCTCAGTGTTAAGAAGCTAATCTCCAATCAATTAGAGGAATGCATCGAAGAGTATAAGGAATTACCTCTAGAAATAGAAGAAAATGAAGCAATTTTAACAAGCCTAGACACCACTGTCATGAGCAATGAAATTGGTAAATATGGTGGTGTTTTTAAAGTTGATGCAGATTTTTATTCTGTCAATAGTGGGCAAGCTATTCCTCTGGGAACAGAACAGAAGGAACGGAAATTTAAGCTGACAACTAATATTCCTGTACCTCTAGATAAAGCCTTGCAGCACATTCACACTTCCTTTATCAAAAGTGATGGAAATAAAGAGGAGGGTAGAGTTGATATACATGTAGTTAAGGATAATAACACAGCCATTGTATCATGCACACCTCAAAGTATTGGTGGATATGAACTATCAGTGACTATAAGAGGTCACCATATTAAAGGTAGTCCTTATCAACTGTCAGTAAAAGCATCAAGAGACTATACCACACTAGCTTACCAGAGATCCTTTAATGTGGGGAATACTTGTGGTGTTGCTGTTCATACTAATGGTGAAGTATTTGCTAGTAGTCATTATGGTGGGTTTGTTCAGGTATTTAGTGAGGATGGTACTGCATTAAGAAAGATTGGATCTAAAGGTAATGGTAATGGACAGTTCCAATGTGCTTGGGGTTTATTGCTGGTAGGAGACAGGCTCTATGTGTCTGATCTTAATCTTCATTGTGTGCAATATTTCTCAGCTACTACTGGTCAGTATATTGGTCAGTTTGGTAGTAAAGGTAATGAAAATAGACAATTCTCTACTCCTCGTGGTATGTCTACTGATGGTAAAGGTAATATATTAGTGGCTGATTACAGCAACAAAAGAGTACAAGTGTTTAAAGAAGATGGTACATTTGTACAAGTCATACAATGTGATGGTAATGCAACTGATGTAGCAGTTGATAATGAAGGAAAGATACACGTTAGCATTGGTGACCAAAATCATGTTCAAGTTTTCTCTTCTGATAATAAAAACCAACTTGATACATACAAAAATAACATTAGTTACCCTCAAGGTATTGCTATTGATGACGAAGGATACGTCTTTGTTTCAAATAATAATGGCTGTCTTCATGTATTGAGTCCTGACAGGAAGCAAGTCATCAAATCGATTTCACTCGCTGAAATATATGGTATAGCACTGGATAAGGATGGATATATCTATGTAGCCGAATATCGCAACAGTCGTATAATGAAATATTAAAGTAGTCGTTAAAAACTGCAATAAACTATAAGCTGATAATTATAATTTGTAGTGACTATAGAACTATAGAAACATAAACTTAGACATATAGCATAAATAATTATTTTTTAGAATTTTATTTTTAAAAAATATAGTTTTAAAATACAAAAAACAGCATAAATTTAAACAAAAATATTTAAGCTATTGTACTGTATCCACTCCTAGCAACAGTACTTATCATACAGTAATAGAACCAAACAAAGACAGCTACCATTACTGCTACTGCTCCTATACAAGAAGAAGCAGAAACACCAGATAGACGTTGCAGATTCCACTGTACTAAAACCGGAGTTACATTAACGTCCATCATTATTGTACTTGTAGTGTTAAAAAGTAGAGATATATTCTCCTTTTTGTGTGGGTACTTAGTATGTGTTATTGAACAGGTAGTGTGTTGTGAGGAAACACTGCAGTTCTCATTCAGTCCACTGATATTGATTCTTGTTAGATTAGCTAATAGCCAGATTGTATAACCCACATTTTTAGCAACATACCAACCAATGTAATAGAGTTTGTTAGGAGGTAGATGGAATCTTTTATTTTCTACTCCTGTTTTAGGAAGACAACCAGTTTGAGCAACAGGGTCACCAACTGAGCCATGAGGCTCATTTGGTTTGAAAACTTCATCTAAGTCCGTTTTGTTGTCATACAAAAAAAGTTGCGCCGGGCAACCTGAAATGGCCCCGTTTTCCTGTAACTCAAATCTGAACTTCAATTCGCAAACTGTATTACATATAAGATTGTTTTCACTTCGGTCGTAATACAGTTCGAACCTTTGAGAAAAAGTAGAATTTCTCTTGTCTATTTGCTTTTCAGGAAGCATCACAGGAATGCATGATAACTGAGACTTAGGGATGACATAGACACTTGCTGTAGCTGAGCTATCGGAAATAAGATTCACTTCATTGACATAAAATTGATCGTAGTAGATAGAGGTTACATAGCCATTGTACACACTGATATTCTGAGCATCAAAATGTTGAGTGTTCTTGTAGACGAAAAGAAATGTTAATGCAATGGCAGCCATTATTAGAATAATGGTGACTAGGGTACAGGTACAAACAATGCACCTACATGTAGCTTTGGTCCCTATTAATGAAAAGGTCAAACAAGTAAATTGTAAATGCTATGATAACAATAAAAAATTATAATTGTCCTGTTTGCTAAAGTATACCCATATGACCACCACTTCCTCATGCACCCCTATAAGTTGTCATAACAATGAAATGGGATTGTATATACATGCAGAAATTTCTGTCACATCATCATTCTATTCATCTTTATTAAAATCACATTCACATGTACATATGGCCATAATTCTTAATAATAATTACCGTTCACATTATACTCT